AACAATATACAACAAGGACCATGGCTAGCAGTGGGAGATTTCAACTTAGTGCTAAATAGTTAGGATAGACAACATGGCACTATTATACAAGATATGAAAATAAAGGATTTTAGGGAGTTCATGAGCGACTATACATGGACAAATAACCATACAAAAAGCAGGATACACAGAGGATTCGTAAACATAAACTGGATAATGACAATGCCCAGCCTGTGTATACAAATCCTAGAACCATCTATCTCTGATCATTCCCCACTTAAACTTCACAAATGCAGACGAAGAAGGCCAGTCTATTCAGATTCTTTAATTGCATAGCTGATCACCCTCAATTTATACAAGGAGTAGAACAAGTATGGAACATAAATGGAGATGTTGGGAAGCTACAGGGAGTATGAAACAAACTAAAGAGAGTCAAACAAGTTATTAAGGGGCTTAACACACAGCACTGCAAAAGTGTTGAGGACAGAATCAAAGGAATCAGAAGGGAACTACAGGAAGTACATGAGAAAATGGGCTGTAGAATGATGAATACAGAATTAATTGAGGAAGAAAAAGAACTAAAAAGAACCTAGAGAAGTGGATACCGATAGAGGAAAGCATTTACAGGCAAAGATAAAGGGTACAATGGCTGAAGTTGGGAGATACTAACTCTGCATATTTCTTTGCTCATATGAAGAACAGGAACACTTTGAATGGAATACATGGTCTCACGAATGATCTTGGGGTACAGATACATATGGAGGAGAAAATAGAGGCAGAAGTACTTGCATATTATAAACAATTGCTAGGATCAAATGCTCCTGCAATCCCACCAATAGATCCAAATGTAATGCAAAGAGGTACAATGCTCAAAAGAGAACAACAAGCTAAATTGATTCAGCTTATCACAATACATGAGATATAGGAAGCTCTACAAGATATGAATGACTTGAATGCCTCGAAATATGATGGTCTCAATGCATGTTTTTTCAAGAAGTCATGGCATATCATAGGGGATGAGGTAACACAAGCTATGATGGACTTCTTTCAGACATCACAGATGTTTAAACTAGTTAACTGCACATCAATAACTCTAATCCCTAAAGTCAGAAATCCTGCTACCATCAAGGAGTATAGACCTATTTCATGCTGCACCACAATTTACAAAATTATCTCAAAGGTCTTGACTAGTCGATTACAAGGAGTCTTTGATGATCTAATAGATAAGACTCAGTCTGCTTTTGTCCCTGGAAGAGTCATTATTGATAATATCATTCTAAGCCATGAGTTAGTAAAAGGGTTTGGAAGGAAAGGAGTGTCACCTCGATGCATGATGAAACTGGACATGCAGAAGGCATATGATTCACTTGAATGGCCTTTTTCTTGAGCTGGTTTTGAGTGCATTAGCATTTCCAGAGCAGTTTGTGAAATGGATAATGGCTTGTGTACAAAGTGTCACATATACTATCATCTTGAATGGTTCACCAACTCAGTCTTTTGAAGCCAGGAAAAGGGTTTAGAAAAGGGGATCCACTATCCCCATTTCTTTTTGTGCTGTCAATGGAATATTTAACAAAAAGATTGAAGGCATTGCACCACATCCCGGACTTCAACTATCATCCTAAATGTGGAAGGATGCAGATCATGTAATTTGGTTTTGCAGATGATCTGTTGTTGTTTTGCAGGGGAGACATTGGTTCAGTTCAGCTGCTATACAACTGCTTTATGGATTTCTCAAAAACATCAGGATTAGAAATTAACAAGAAGAAAAGTTCCATCTTCTTTGGAGGAGTATCACAAGATGTTCAAAAATACATACTGGAGTACCTTGGAATCTAAAAAGAGGAGCTGCCAGTAAGATACCTTGAAGTACCTTTAAGTTCTAAAAGGGTCTCACTAGTACAATGTCAACCTCTAATTGACAAGCTAGTGGAAATAGTCACATCTTGGACAGTCAAGCTACTGTTATATGCAGGCGACTACAACTTATCAAAAGTGTCTTGTTCTCCATTCAAACCTATTGGGCTCAAATTTTCATGCTACCAAAGAAGATGAGATTTTTACCTAATTATACTATATTAGAAACTTAATTACCTATCTTTTCTATGTTTTGTAGTTTTTAATAAGTATCTACGTTTTACTTACAAATTATGTAGATTGCTCCTTAAAAGACTCTCACCCATTATTAGTGCCTTCAATTAAGGGATTCAATTACATCATTCCCTTCTTTTCCCCCCTCTCCTCTTCTCTCTCTTTCTTTCTTTTTTTTTTACATCAAAATCCCTTAATTTATGCCAGAATCCCCATCTTTTCTCTTCCCACCATTGCCGACAGCTTTATATTATTAAAAATCATCAATTGTATCGTTCTTTTGCTAGGAGATTGGACAACACTGAAAATGAAAAAATATTCAGGATTTGTATGATAATTGTATCGTAATTGTATTTGAATTATACCAGATACATCAATGCCTAAAACATAATTGTATCATATTTGTATGACAATTGCGTTCAACTTGTATATGGTACATTAATACCCAAAATAATACCCGATACAATACTAATAAATTAATATACAATTATCATATATTTCTGATACAAATCGTGAAATTCTTCACGAACTCACAACTGCTCGTAACAATATACAATGAATGTACAATTATCATACATTTATAATACAATCCCTTTCAACAATTATGATACATATACAATTATAATACAATCGTGATACATTTCCGAAAAATTGTGATATAACTATGTTCTTCATCTTCTTCAAGTTTCAATCACAACTCTACACTAAAAATCTAATATAATCGTACTATAATTGTATTAGTATCGTATCAAGTATTATTTTGGGTATTGAGGTATCATATACAAGTGCCATACAATAAAGATTTTAGAAAATAAGAAAACAAGATTTAAAACAAGAGAGAAATCGGAAATCAAAAGCTTTGGAAGAGGAGTGAGTAAGCGAGATTGTTGGATTAGAAAGATTTGGGTATCAGTGGGAGAATTCTTACGGTGGGTAAGTACAAATATGGGTAATTGTTAAAGAAAGAGAGAAGAATCTTAAATATAGGGGGATTATGTGTAACTGATATGCTATATTTAAGGTATGTTTCATTTCCTCCTTTTTATGATTTTGTATAAAACTAGTAAATATAAGTATATAAAGTAATTAACATGGAACCTAAATAAAGGTAGTAAATAGGTTTCTATTATAGTATAGCTAGATAAAAATCCCAAAGAAGATCACCAAGCTGATTGAGGCAATTTGCAGAAGCTTCTTATGGACAGGAGATAGTAACATTTCGAAAAAAGCTTTACTAGCTTGGGAGAAAGTATACCAACCCAGGCCAGCAGGAGGTTTCAATGTTATAGATATTAGCTTATGGAACAAAGCAGTTGTCAGCAAACAATTCTGGAATCTATGCAAAGAAAAGAACAAGCTATGGATACAATGGGTACACTGTTACTACATAAAAAGCAAACATGTATGGGAGGTGCAAATGAACCAAGCATCATGGATCATGAGGAAAATATTGAAAGCTAAAGAAAACTTTGAGAAAGTAAGATACAATTATGAAGATCTCATCCAGATGCAGACTTGCTCCATAAAGCACATATACCATAAACTGCGAGGAGACTTTAACATAGTGAAATAGAGGAAATTGGTCTGCAACAATGCAGAATGTCCTAGATTCACGCTAACTTTGGTGGCAAATGGCTGGATAGATTGCTAAAGTGGGGAATTCACAATGATCAAACATGTCCTTTATGTTCACAGGCAAATATATCTATACAACATCTATTCTTTGAATGTCTATATGCTGCTGAACTATGGAAAAGATTGCTCAATTGGCAAGGTATCAACAGAAACATCTATGGTTGGACTGAGGAGTTACAATGGGCAGAGAACTGGGCAAGAAACAGAAGTGCAATAATAGAGCTGTTCAAGATTGTATTAGCAGGCTGTGTATATTTTGTGTGGCAGGAAAGGAACGCAAAATTATTTCAAGCCAAAGCGAGGAACTATGAGATACTTAGCAAGCTAATTGTACAAGAAGTACACTGTAGAAGCAATAGGAAAATAGCAAGGGTTCTAAGTAGACTGGATTACTATCCAACATAATAGCTAGAGTAGCAGAAGGATAATAATAGTGTGTACAAGGGAGGGAGGAAAGTATAGGAAAACCTTGTAAGGGTTCGGTATAGAATGTAAATATTTTTCCTGGTATATATAAAAGTTTAATTACCAAAAAAAAATAGTATATGTCGGAACCGACCATACACTAGCTGTAAAAGTGTATAAAATTCATATATTTTTGGTATATAACATACAGAATTGTATATATATACAAAAAATATATAGTTTTTTGACTATAATTTGGAGAGCAACTATATAATATCAATTTTCCATATTATTACTTCATTAAATTTTCTCCAGTAAATGAAGATACTTCGTCTATCTTATCAAAAGAGTCAGAGTATTGGTATCAATGAAGAGATAGAAGAAAAATGGATGAAGAAAATCAAAATAAGGCCCTACAAATCCATATTTTTCAAGATTTAAGAATGCATAGCAGTAGAGTTGGAAACAGTAGGGTCTAAATTCTATCCTAGTTAGTCAGAAATTTACATATTATTGAAACTTAAGTTTTCATCAACGTGGCCATGCGAACATAAATACATTATTGAAACTTAAGTTCTTGTAGGGTGCGCTTCTCTTATATGACTTTACGCGATATGAATCTGAATACAGTATTTCACTTATTTTCTCTGTTTGTTGAAGCCAAACGCCTCACTTACCATGACCGACCATATTTGAGTTTCCAAGAAAACAATTGGCATCGTTGGTGCAGCAAATGGGGTTGCTCTTCCTTTAACCAGAGGTCTCGAGTTCGAACCCTAGGTATGAAAAAATCTTTGATAGGGACGTTCCCCGAATGGGACCCTACGAGGCACGGATTCGAATATAATCGGACTCCAATTGACAGTTCAAAGAATAAATAACATTGGTAATGATCATGACTTTGAACTTATATTATTAACAAGACATGTGGTTACAAAAAATATAAGGAGTACAAAAAAAGATAGGATAACAAAGAGAAAGAAAATATAGTTTGCTATCTATAGGAAATCCAATGATCTATCTTTAAACCTATATTTGAGAATCTTGACAACCCATATACTTCTTTACAAGTAACAAGGTGGGACTTTCTTTCACAAAAAAAAAATAATAATAATAAATAATAATAAATAAAAAAAATCATAATGGGGCTATAGTACTTTCTCAAATAGGACCAACCTATTATCAGCTAGTCTAGAATTGTATGCTGATTTTTTGTACTCAAACCATGTAAATTCTTTGTACAAGCTGTCTTGATCCCCTTTTATTAGTGAAGCCAAAGGTGCTATCTTTTCACTCAATGGTGGTCCTCCAAAATAAATCATTGAAAGTCTTGATTTCAAACTATTGGCCAAAACCCTATGCTTTACACTCTTAAACCTTCCATTGGTCATCACCTGCAAAATTCACCACCATTACTAAAATTGCACTTAGCGGCGGAGGCAGAATTTCAGTTAAGGGGGTTTAAAAAAGAAAAAAGTTAAAAAATTAAAAGAAATTGATGCTAGTGTGAATTGAACCAAGGACCTCATAAAGATTTTGAATCATCTTGACCACTTAGTTATGCTTTTAGGCTGTCAAAGGAATTTAAAACATAGTATATAGAGGTAAAAAAAAAAATTTACTTACATATACAGTGTAATTTTTCGACGAATAGCGTTCGAGTCCAATCCGCCCCCATAAATCCACCCCTGATTGTACTCTAGTAAAATAGTACTAATGTGTATAAAAATACAATACTTTATGTATAGTGGGATGGATGAGATTCTCTACCGTTAACTAAAAGTTCTGATTTGAATGTCAGGAATGAAGAATGTGGATTAGTCAAATCAGTAGGTACTAAATATCGAATAATTAAACTGGAAAAATATGCAAATATATTAAAATCACATACAAAGTAACTTAATTTACCACATTCATCTATGCTCAAAACTAATTATTTTTGTTTTTATTTTGTCACAAATCCATATTATGATATCCAACTCCTAGGAGGAATAATGTGAAGTACAAAGAAAAGTTAGGAAAAGACACTATTAACCCTAGGATAAATAATGTCAGCATGCTAATTCTTCACCCCAATTACTTGGCAAATGAGCGAAAATAAAAAGCAAAACTAGAAGCTTCCACTCAATAAAGACTAAATTTTGGAGAAAACTATAGTGCCACCAAAAAATACCAAAAACTTTAAGATGAAGTGATAATTACTCCTTCATTTTTAACTAGAGGTCTCGAGATTGAACTTTGATATAAAATTGCTTTTATTAAGGAACACTTTACTCCCAAGAGGACTTTTCGGTACGAATTCAGATTTAGTCGGGTACCAATATAGATACCGGACACCGAATGAAAAACCAAAAAGAAGTCACCGAGAAATAAAGTTTCTGGGTTTGAATCCTGAGTATAGAGCTGCTTTTGTTAAGGAATACTCTACTATCAATGGGGCTTCGCGGCGCAACTTCAAATTTAGTCAGAAAAACAAAAAAAAAAAAACAGATGTCACCAATAAATAAAGGGCTATACCTGCAATGAATCACCAACATTGATGAAGAAAGAATTTTGATCAGGTGGTACAGAAATCCAATGTCCATCTTCAAGTGAAATTTGAAGTCCAGAAGTGTTATTTGATCTTAATAAAGAAATAATTTGTGGGTCAGTATGTGCACCAAATCCAATCAAATTTCTGCCATTGAATTCTTGAACTTCAGGACATGGAGGGTAGTGATTTATCCTAAAAACAGAGTCACTCTGTTCATCCATTAGTAGTTTACTAAATACATTCTTTGGATAAATCTTCAATCCTTCTGCTAACATTTCAAGAATCTCACATGCCATTTTCTTCATTGCTGATACATAATCATTAACAGCAACACTGCAATTATAAAATAAATAAATAAATAAATAAATAATCAATTTAAGCAGCATAGTAATTGACATAGTCTATAATATCTTATTTTATCGAGGAATGTGGTGAGATGGTTGGAATTTTTTACCCTAATTAAGGTTTTCGAGTTTGAATCCTGAATAAAAATATTCCCGACAATGAGGCTAAATCCTTAGTGGGCCCTACTTCGTGTAAATTTTGATTTGTCAGATCAGTGTATTTCAAAATACCTAAAGCCAAAAAAAGAATTTCTATTGCCGAAAAATGTGGTGAGATAGTTGGAATAACTCCGTCGTTCATTAGAAGTTTCGGATTCAAATCCTGAATGCAAAAAATCCTCTAATAAGAAGCACTTTACCCCTTATTCACCTTACTCAATATGAATTTAAATTAGTCGGACTAGTGAGCTCCTTATTCACATTACTCAAGACGAATTTGAATAATTCAGACTAGTGAGCTCCTTATCAGGGGCGGAGCCAGAGAATCCGACGCGGGTTCGGCTGAACCCAGTAATTTTTGTTCAAACCTTGTATTTATCTGAAAAATTTTATTAAACACGTACAATTTATTAACGTAGAACTCAGTAACTTCCCGAACCCACAAACTTAAAATCATGGCTCCGCCTCTACTCCTTATTCACCTTACTCAACACGAATTTGAATTAGTCGGACTAGTAAATTTCGAGATGTCTAAAGCCATAAAAGAAAGTAACTTTTTCTTGTGTCTTACCGAATATTTTCTGGGTCAAGACCCAAAATGGATGCAAACTTTTGGTAATTGAACTCAGAATTTGTTGACAAGAGAATGTATTCAACCCAACCAATATCACCATTGGTTCCAATCTTTCTATTGCCATAGCCAAAAGGATCAGCAGGACCTGCTTTTTCTTTCTGATTAAGAGGAGATGAGAAGAATTTAATGGCTTCTAATTCAAGATTATTAATAAATTCCATAGGAACACCATGGTTTATAATTTTGAAGAATCCAAATTCTTCATATGCTTTAACAAGAAGATTCTTGCTATCTGGTTTTGAGATGTCTATTATTGGAATATTACTAGGAAAAAATGAAGAAATTGGTTTACAATTCTTGACTATGGAAAATTGTTCAACTGCTGGTATTGACAAGACAACCATAGTAAACTTTGTGGATGACAAAATGAAGATTGGTTTTTTTTGGGTGTTTTTGGTTTTGGTTTATGACAAGTGTTTGATATTTTTTCTTGCTTTTTATGAGCAAGTTTTGGTGGAATTGTGAAGTAATGTACATTTGGCAGCAAGGACTGCTTCGCTATTTATAGAGAATTGTCAGAGTTCAATCGCAGTCCACCAAGTGTAAGGGCCTGGGGAGGGTGGGGTGGTCTTTTGGGGGGTGGCAGAGGCGGACACACATAATGAGTTGAAGGATCACGGGCACCCGGAAAACTTCGGCAAAAACTCTTCGGTGCACTAAGCTCCCGCTATGCGCGGGATCTAGGAAAGACCGGACAACAAGGGTCTATCGTACGCAGCTTATGCTCCCGCTATGCGCGGGATCTGGGAAGGACCGGACAACAAGGGTCTATCGTACGCAGCCTAACCCCTGTATTTCTGCAAGAGGCTGTTTTCACGGCTCGAACTCGTGACCTCCTGGTCACATGGCAGTAACTTTACCAGTTACGCCAATGCTCCCTTCTCGGCAAAACTCCATATATACTTGCAAATGTTTTCAGAAAATAGTCAAATAAGCATAGGCTCCGTATTAATCTTTATGAACGATGATAAATTTATACTGAATGTCATGGTGCCTCCGCGACCGCCGAGTCCTCGGGGGTTTCGAAAGGAGAACTTAGACAAATGATACCATCTTATTCAAAAGATGGAGAAGGTATTGCTTCTAAAATCAAGAAGTTAAAGATTGTTTAAGTGGACTTTATTTTATTTTTTTTAATATTATGTGTGTACTTTAACCTGTGTAACAGGGGATTTAAATTTTTTCAGGTTATAAATTAATATTAATGCATAAAACTTAAATTCATTATTTTTTAAATTTCTATTTTAACCATGCGGGGGAAATTTTTGTTAAGCAGAAGTATTTGAAATCTTGTCTATACGGGTGTACATAGGTCGAGTTGGTTCGAATTTTTTAATTACCAAACCAAACTAATAGTGTCGGGTTTTAAAATGAATAAACCAAATCAAACCAACAAAGTCGGGTTTTTATCGATTTTTCTCGAATTTTTCGATTTTTTTCTTCGTATTTTTGAGTATTTCCGATAAAGTCTTCATAGCACAAAATATGTAACTTGTGCTCCAAATATTTTTTTAGCCGTAGTAGGATACAACTATATAATATATTTTTCAAGAAAATAACACAATAATATGAGATGAGTCATAGCATTGTAATAAAATATTCAATAACAAAGATAATAAAATTACTTAAAATAAATATTGTTAATTTATAAGCCATAATAAAAATGAACATAATCTAAAAGTATTATATAAGTCATGCTAAAATGAGTACATCTAATAAGTACTATTAATTACATGACTAAGCACTAAAGAAAAAGATAAACTAAGTTATGCATTTTCATTATAAACCAATGCAAAACTAAAAATAGATATCCGACACTATTGTCATTTCTAATGTTGAATTGAATTTATTTTGTTAGCATTAGTATTGATTTGAACTTTATTTGAGTTACTACATTTATGGGCTATAAAACTTATTGGATCATTCAAAAATATTAAATCCAAGCTCGAAATATTACATTAAAAGATAAAAGTGTGAAATTTTTTAAGAAATATTTATAAATTACACTACAATAAATATTTATATGTATAAAATATTTTTAAAAATTGTATAAATATAATATCGGGTTGGTTTGATTTCGGTTTGACTTTTTCAGTTAAAACCAAACCAAATTAATTATAGTCGAATTTTTTTCCCAATACCAAACTAAATCGAATCAAACCATATCGATTTTTTTTTTTGATTTGACCCGAATTATCGATTTTCTTTGTACCCCTCTGTTTGTCTCAAAAAAGTGGTAGCAAAGCCACAATGACAAAATCATTTACTCTTTCATCTCTTCGAAGTGGTTTGATTCCAAACATAATTATTCTAGGATTAGTTATTTAATAATTATAATTCGACGAATATTAAAATTTGGTATAAAATTTATATTGATATTAACTAATATTCATAGTAAAATATGAGATAGAATGCAATCCCAAATNGGCAAGATACTTACCTCGAACCAAGCTCAATCAGTCTGTAAGAATGCCCTTTTCTCAATTATCCTACTCCGAATGGTCCAAATCTAACCAAACATAATTGCATATCATGAATACAACCATAATAGACTCATCTAATTAATGAAATCAATATTTTAATAAAAATCCGAAATCCACCCTAAAAAGTCGACTCAGGCTAACGTCTCAGAATAGGGTAAAAATCACAAAATACGAATACCCATTTACTCACGAGTCTAACCATACTAAAATCATCAAATTCCGATACCATTTCGTCCCTCAAATCATAGTTTTTTATTTTGAAAATTTTCTTCAAAAATCAACATTTTCCTCAATTTAAAACACAAATTAAATGATAAAAACAAAGATAAAATCATGAAATATATTAAATTCTAGGTGAAGAATACTTACCCAGTCGATTTGCTTGAAAAACCCACAAAGAATCGCTCAAAATCGAGCTCTACAACTCAAAATACGATGAAAATGGTCTAACCATCGATTTGAGAATATATTCTGCCTATCCAGGTATTTGTACATCGGGATCGCGGAAGAAATGATGTCATCGCGTAGAAGGAAAATGGTTACTGTCCAAAATGTGCTACGCGATCGCGGAAGGGCTTATGCGATCGCGTAGTGAAGGAATTATCTGCTGCCCAAAGCCACACTTCGCGATCGCGAAGCAGAAGATGCGATCGCGTAGAAGGAGTAGACACACTTCGGCGATCGCGAACAAGGTCATGCGAACGCGAAGAGTAACGAGTACTAGTGCTCAAGGCTAGGTTTTTACTATGCGAACGCGATGGAGGGGATTGGAACGCGAAGAAGCGGAAAGCAGACCTTCGTGATCGCGAATGGAATCACGTGAACGCGAAGAACAATAATTCATTCTCCCCAAATTGCACTACGCGAACGCGATTAAGGAAACCAGATGGCAAAAACCAGCAGTCCAAAAATAGAAGAAATTGGCCCGTAGCCCATCCGAAACACACCCGAGGCCCCCGGGACTCCGTCTAAACACACAAACAAGTTTCATAGCCTAATATGAACTCGCTCGAGGTCTCAAATCACATCAAACAATATCGAAACTACGAATCACACCATGAATCGAACTTATGAACTTTCAAATCTTCCAACTCCTAAAACTCGAGCCAAAACCTATCAAAATTAACCCGGAATGACGTCAAATTTTGCAGGCAAGTCCCAAATAACATAACAGAGTTGTTCCAACTTTCGAAATCGCATTTCGACCCCGATATCAAAAAGTCCACTTCCGGTCCAAATCTCCAAAAATTCGACTTTTGCCATTTCAAGCCTAAATCAGCTACAGACCTCAAATTCACAGTCCGGACACGCTCCGAAGTTCAAAATCATCCAACGGAGCTAACAGAATCGACGGAACTCCATTCCGGAGTCGTCTTCACACAGTTCTGACTACGGTCAAAATCCTAAGACTTAAGCTTCCGTTTTAGGGACTAAGTGTCCCAATCACTCCGGATCATCTGGTAACTGAATTCAACCACGCACGCAAGTCAATACACATAATATGAAGCTGTTCGTGACATTATGTAAACGAACGAACCTTAAATTATCAAAACGACCGGCCGGGTCGTTATATCGGTATTCACTATTAACTGAAATGGAGAATAATCTAGAATATTGTCCTTGCCAACTACCCGTTTTGTTTAATTAATGTTCTTGAGTTGCGTTACGTAAAAAGTATTGGACAATACATGAAATAGGTCAACTGAACATGGACAATTTATTATTTTGAACCCTTCAGTAGTTCGTTGTACGAAGTATTCTGTGTGCACGCAGGGTTCGAGGAAGGTTTGTATCCTATAAAATTTGATATAGGTGCACAAAGTATCCACATTCACGCAGGGTCCGGAAAATAGCCACATCCCAAAGTTTATAGGTCATACAATGACAACTTTACCAATATCAATAGCCTATTGATCCGATTAATTTAATTTTGTGTTGAGTAAGATCATTAATTAAGTGGAGTTGAAGTGGTTTATACCATAAAGTGAAATTAAAACGTCCTCGTATTGAAAGTATCTTTTTTCCGAGAGATCGAATTCGAAACTTTTGTTTATACCGATCAAAATCTCAGTGCCAAATCAAGGTATGGAATGTCTATTCAAAAGAAGTTGAAGAAAAAGAAAAAGATTAAGAAATGACTTCGACTTTGAAAGCGAGCTTACCTATTACTATATTTATTGATGGGTCATTATTATTAGAAAGGGAACATTCATAAATATGCCCAGCTAAAATGACTGCATTTATCAACGATTCTTCTTTTTCTAGAAAATAAATTTCTACTCTTCAGCAATTATGTCTAAGTTGATTTTCACGTCGGCCAAAAATTAATTGATAATACTATTAGCAAATCAAATAATGGTTTGAGAAAATTTAAAAAAAAATAGTTCGGTGCACAAAATATTCTACGTTTACACAGAATTCGAAAAAAAACAGCACCTCAAAGAGTGTGATGTAGACAACTTATCCTAATGCATGCATTAGTGGTCGTTTTAACGCTCAAACCCGTGACCTATAGGTCTCCCGAAAATATTGATGTTGAGCCGCCATTCAACCATGGATACTTTGATTAATTAGAGAATATATTTTTCTGTATAAAGTATCAAATCATGGATACTTTGATTAGTTAAAGAATATTTTTTTCTGTATAAAGTATCAAATCAAGATCTTTGGCCACCTGAATTTCCTAGAAAAGGAGTTTAAGCCGTGTTGGAAATTCTTTCCTTTGTTTCTCCGTCTCTGTCAATAATTTGGTCATATAATATTTTAGTATAACACATATTGAAATGAACAATCATTATTTAAAAGTCTTTGGCCACCCGAAATTTTTAGAAAAGCTAAGGAATCTAAGACAATATTGTTCGCTTCATTTCAAGATGACATCTTTTTAATAAGAAAAATCTTAGAAAACAAAGAAGAAGAAGAATAAATGTACCTAAGGGTGTCGCGTGATTGTTAATAAAGTAGATTGAGAATCATTAGGTCTTAG